ATAGCTGCTGTACCAATGCTTTGCAACAGGAGAAAACAAAAGAAAAATAATATTGTCATTGGTAAACCTTGTACAATTTTTATGCTATTGAAAATCATTAAACCCTACTTGTTAACTTATTAGCTATCAATAATATTCTTTCATTATTATGAAATATTCTTAAAAAAATCCCTGACATAATGACATGGGTACCTTTAAGATGGTCCCAGGGCTAAGCCCTAAGAGTTATCACGAAATTGATGGTGTATAAACATATTCAATGAAATTCTACATGTATCTACCAAGTAATGTCCAGCAGTGTCTGAGTGTATCAATGGCAAATATACTACCAAACATCCTCTTTTATATTTATAGATTTCTTCGAAACAGACAAAAGTCCAAGCAAATGAGTAATATTGGTTACATTACATCAAATTCTAGGTACCATAATTTATGTCATCTTCTTACTTACATAAAGTGAAAGGAAACGTACAGGAACCCATTACGACATGTCGATACATTTTACGAAACTACGAATTTCGTGTCTAAGAAAAACATATCACCGCCAACGTTTCCACTGACATACAATCATTCAGGTTAAAAGTCAATACGGGTATACGTGCTTTGGTTTCCTTAGAAATCTGAGCCATTTATTTACCGTTACAAATTTCCTGCTGTAGCTAAATTGGACGTCCTATTAAATTGACATTTTTATAATTGGTGAAAATTATTATTATCACACGCTTCTCAAAAATGTATAAATCATCAAATCCCATTTCTTTACAATACAATTATTTACTCTTTATTATTTATTATTTCTCTTTAATTATTTATTCTTTACTTTTACAATTATTTGAGTTCAGTTTTATCAATGTATGTTGGTATGTTGTAATAATTTCGGAAAATGCTTGTTATCAAACTTTAGCATTGCTAACCCAATTACTGTTAAATGAACCGTTTTGTTGATGCATATACAAAAATTGGATATGAGTCTCATTACAGTTTACATTGGAAAGAACATTGTTATTGGAAATATTTATTAGTTTCATATATATACAAATTCCACTTATTCCATCTCGAATGCACTTCTCAATCCAATTAGGATGGATGTAACATGTCTAGCTGCATAGGCCCTAGACAATGGACATCTAGTACACTGTGATGGGCACTAGAACCTCACAATCAAATCTCCCTTGTACTTGAATTTTTAAAATTTGAGAAGTTACCTAACAATTCGGAGTACAATTCAGAGCATACTTGAGAGGAGCTTTAGTTAACAAGTTTAATCGTCAAGTGGAATTCAACCACTCATCTTGGTTACTCATCTTTGATGTCGAGGATTGTTAAGGACTGGTCAGGTACTTGATCACGAATTAAACTGTGGTTCACAAACAAGGAATTTCATCTCAATTAACTTTGTACACAACATGGATTAAGCTTATCAAACAAACCATGTTTTCAGTGTTAGCAAATTAAATTTGATGGTAAATAATACAGTGTCTACTTGTTAACATTCAGGCGTTTATTCCTAGCAATATTATGAGTGGGAAATAAAACGATTATTTTTAATACTTTTTAATGTTGAAATAATGAACACACCTAAACATTATAAAATAATACGCAATTCAATTTATTACTTTAGGGGATTTCTATGGTTTTAGTTGTGGAGGATTTATCGATATATGATATAATAACTGTAACGTTAACGTTAAGACTTAGGTCTATCCTTATACTTTCTGGTTTTAAATCTAAGCCCTCCGGTTTTTTAACAAGTGGAAAGCTATAAAACTCTTAGGAAGGTATATCTAGGACAAATTATAAGCTAGTATGATGTATTCCTATAATGTATGCTGAATAATTAGCTTTCATGTTTGAGGGTAAGGAAGCACAACAAAATCAGTGTTTATCTTAAATTCAAATATCTTTCAATATGCTTCAACTGAAGGCTTGAAAACAGAAACTATTTCGGATTTTCGAATTTACTACACTGCTACTGGTTACCAAGATGTTAAAATATCAACCGCATTATTTCCCCATATTTTAATTAAAGAGATTAATGAATAAACGTGTTAATGCACCCAGTATTTATAACAGAAGGCTTGAAGCTAATCTGATTTCAAATTTTCACCTACGTTGAGTAATGAAATATTATAGTACAAAGAATCATAAAAACAAAAAGTTAACTAATTTTACCAAGAAAGGAATATTAAGCTAGTTATTAAGGCTGTCAAGGACAAAGTAGGTGTTCCTCGCTTGGTATAATCCGTCAGATAATATGTCTTGCTGAGTTGTTTGTCACAGACAGACAATAGTTGTACCTCATATACGTGTAAGAGAAGTGACAGGTAATTGTTTTCAACAGCTCTGAATATGGAGTCGTCTTCATTTTAAGCCTTGCATTGTATTATTTTTATGAATAGGCCTACTTATTAGATTCAAGTCTATTTCAACTTAACTTAAATGATTTAAATTACTACCAAATTAAATTTTGTTCACCAGATTGTGTGTTTGCACGCTATCTTAACCTATGACCACGCTAAGGTCATTCATTAAAAAATAAACTGTAACAGAAATCGTGCCATAACTGGTTTTCTACTTATCCTGTACTAGTAATACGTATAGTAAACTGTGATATTATGCTATTGAAACAATCTGTAATTTCCACTTTTCATTCGCATGCTAAAGTTGTGATTAAGAATCAACAACATAAATGGATCTACAAATAAAGTATTGTTGTAAATATAGTTTTCTTCCTTTGCTCATCTCTAGTAGTATCGTAATATAGTAGCAACTTTTTGTAAACTTTAGCTATTTTGTGTACCAATCAAACATGAAATCTTAAAGGGAAAATATAATTTGAATAATAACTCAACGAGAGGATAATTTAACTATCTTGTCTTCACATCTGACCTCAAAATGCTTTCCCCACTTAGCACTTGGATTGGCCGGTAGATTACGTAATCGTTAAGTGCAGGTTGACAAAGGGAAACATTGCTGTTTTCCCATAGATAGATGAAGCCAAGTATATTTTTAACATGATTCAGTAGGAACGCAATACGTTACTCTTTTATAGCGCATGTGTGTTTTTAGGTTTAATATTGAATATAGATTTTATTTGGATGTTCCCTTACAAACATAACAGGATATGAGACTTAAGTTTTTTCCCTTTGAAGTATTAGTTTAGTAATGTGCTTATAACATGTTGTTACAATACTCTTATCCTAAATAAAAGTTGAGTACACCACATAATTGTATCTAAACAAATTAATATCAATTAAAAAAATGTTTCCCAATGTGATGTTTGCGCTGTCTGAATTTCAAGTATTTAATAGGTTTAAATTATGCATGAGTGTGGGGGGAAATGTCTTAATGCCGAGTTGGCCTTGTAGATCCATTTATCTCTTTTATAGCTTTGGACATAAGACGTTGGACTTGTCGCATGGAATATTGAGCCTTATATCGATAGTTACTGAGATCTATGTGTTCATAAAATGTCTTGTTGATGAATGCATAAGAAATAAAATAATTAAGTAATATTGCAAAAAAAACAATAACTTTAAAAACACTTCTAGCAAAATAGTATTCTATATTTAATTTATTAGGCGTTTATTAGGCATGGTTTTTTATAAGATATGTAGATTGATCAACTATTTATAAATCATAAGCTTAATTACAAGTGGGAATAACCGTTTCAGTTTAATTGTTTGCGGCCTTTCGCCATCATCGGAATTACTTTTTGGAACTTTGTTTCTTCAGTTAACTACCTTAACTAAAATTAAAATCCTATTTGTAGCTAGTTCATATAGTAGAGATTCATAATACAATATTCACAGTCAATAGTATGATTCCATATAGATTTTGAAACTGAAATCAAATCAAGAGATAAAGACTGTGATCTTGATCTAACTTGTAATGCGATTATTAAGAACAATTGCTGCAATCAGTAACTCATCTAAGTTATGGTCTGGGTCGAGATTACAGGTTTGTTTACAAATGATTAAACGTAAACATTTACTTAATAACCAAACAACTCGAGTACTGACATTTAATTTGCTTAAACAAAGATCAGGAGGCATCCGCTAAAACTGCATTCGTCCAAATTATATTTCCACTTTTAGGTTTTGCATTTTTTCAGCAAATCACAGACTCAGCTTTACTTATACTTTTTACTGTACGTCATTGCGATGATTCTAAAATAGCTCAGATATCGTAGATAGCTTAAATAACTAAAATAGCCTAATGAATTTTGATTTACAAGCACGATTTAATAATACATGTTAAGGTAACACAACAGTAAAATATGAATCTTTTTATTATTTAGTTTTGTATAACAGATTTTTCTGGACACGTATATAATAAATATTAAGGAAGAAACATTTATTTTATAAATTTTCAGTGACTTTTAATAACTCTTGCACCTTAATTTAGCATGCCCAAGGTCCTACTACTAATCGTGAGGCAGGGGTACGCCGTCGAATATTAAAATGTTTGTGAAATCTTTGGTTATTAGTTTTGTAAAACAGACTTTTCTGAACACTTAAATACCCAATAAAAAAATATATTTTTAAGTTTTTTTACTTTTCTTCCTCGATTATAATCCAATGTAAATAAAAATTGGTTTGCGTGTTCCTCATATGGTGATGAAAAATAATAGGAATCAATTACCATGACAACTGAAATAGTTTAGTATTCTTTAATGATTGCCTAATCATAACCTATAATACGATTTAGACAACTAGCCGGTCTGACACTAAAACTAACCTGACTAACCACGCACTATGTTTAACGTACCTTGGCATAACGTAGACTGAGACTCCCTCGTCGTTCGTCTCCTCTGTGGGGTTGGACTTTGTACTTTGACCTTAGATCCTATTGTATTGAACTTAAACTGGCTTCTTGATATTGTAATAACGAAACTAAAATATTCTTCACTTTATAACAATTCCCTCCCTACTTATAAAAATAAAACATTTACTCTAAATAAAAACTCTTCTTAGGGAGGGCGACTCTCTTCTTATGCTCTACAGGTTCAGTTTATCAGGCGGTTTTATTGTTCGTTTTGAACGCCTGATACATGAGTCTGGACTCTTCAAGTTTACTCTTTCTGGAGACTTGATTATTCCTGGTGATTCTTGAGAGTCTTGATTTAGTGGTAATGATGGTCTTGTCCGGGATTTACTAGGGCTTTTTGTTGGGGTTTGCCTAGGAGAATATTCAATTGCCGGTGCTGCAATTTCTTCTGTCCTTGCGTTTTCATCTGGTCTAGGTAACATTTGTTCTTCTTCATCTTCATGTGATGGATTCAACTTAAGGTGGTCTGCATGTATGAATCTTGTTTTACCTTCCACATTAACTAGATAGGTTACTGGACTGACAACCTTGAAAATGACACCAGACTGCCAGTTTATCTTCTCTTGTCTCACAGTACGGACTAGCACCATATCACCTTTATTAAAAGATCTCTGTTTTCCTCTTCGGGTATCAGCTCTTGCTTTCGTCTCTTCTTGCTTTCTCTTCATATCGTCAGACAAATGAGGCTTAAGTAAACTCAATGGTGTACGTGGGATGGTCTTGAGAAACATTTCAGCAGGTGTCATGCCTGTTGTCGAGTGTGGCGTGTTCCTGTAGGCAAACAAAAAGCTGTCCAGCCTATGTTGTAGGGTTCGGTTTAAAGTGGTTTTTGAATCCTCCAAAAGCTGTTTCAGAAAGACGTCTTTGGTTGTCTGGACCATCCTTTCTGCGAGGCCATTTGAAGCCGGATGATATGGTGGTGAAACCAGATGCCGAATGCCATTGAACTTCAAAAAGTCATTAAACTCTTGAGACGTGAACTGGGTACCTCCATCTGTTACCACAGTATTTGGTAAGCCGTAAGCTGCAAAACAGGTTCTTAGCTTTTCTATTACTTTAGCAGAAGTTGTAGATTTCATGTGGAAGATTTCGGGCCATTTGGATCTACTATCAACGAGAATGAGAAAATCTTTCCCCTCATAGGCGGCAAAATCTAGATGTAGCCTTTGCCAGTTGCGGTTTGGCCATGACCATGGTTGTAACGGGACCACTGGCATTGATTTCCTAGTCTTCTGACAGATACTGCACTTCTTCACAAACTCTTCAATTTCAACATCAAGGTTTGGCCACCAAACGAAGCTGCGAGATATTGCCTTCATACGCGACTCACCAGGGTGTTCTGTATGTAACAATTGTAGCACTTCTTTTTGATGAACACGGGGAATTATTACTCTTGAGCCCCACAGCAAGCAGTCTTTTTCTACTGAAAGTTGCAACGCTTTATCGGAATACAGTCTTAGCTGTATATCATTCGTGTATGCAGGCCAGCCATTTCTAGTAAGGTCTAAGACCTTTGACAGGATCGGATCATACTTTGTCGCAACCCCGATTTCCTTGTAGGATATAGGAAATTTCTGACTGTGGGCAAAAAAGTTTATTTCACCTTCTATCTCCTCCTCCACTTCTCCTTTGCATGGCAGCCTAGAGAGGGCATCTGCGTTTCCATGATCAGCACCCTTTTTGTACACTAAATCATATTGGTATGTTGCCAAAATTAATGCCCACCTCTGAATTCTAGCAGCTGCCAGAGTGGGTATGGCCTTGGTGGGACCAAGCAAGAATGTTAATGCTCTATGGTCAGTCACCAGTGTGAATTTCCTCCCATATAAGAAATTATGGAATTTGCGCACAGCAAAAATGAGAGCCAGTGCTTCTTTTTCGACTTGTGCGTACTTAATCTCACTCTTGCCTAATGTCCGCGATGCGAATGCTACAGGCCTTTCAGACCCGTTGGGTAACACAAGTGCTAAGACAGCTCCTAGACCATAATGTGATGCATCTGCTGAGACTACAATGTCTAGATTTGGATCAAATGGAAGCAGAACCTTGTTTTGCACTAACATGTTTTTACTTGTTGTAAAAGCCTCTTCACATTTTTGACACCAATTCCACTTAACATCTTTATTTAAAAGCTGGTACAATGGATACAATATACTAGAGAGATTTGGCAAAAATTTTCCATAATAGTTAACTAACCCCAGGAATGAGCGAAGCTGTGACACATTTTCTGGTTTGGGTGCCTTAACAATAGCTTCCGTAAGTACCTTAGAAGGATGAATACCCGCTTTATCCAACTCATGCCCTAGGAAAGTGATCCTAGTCTTGAAAAACTCACTCTTTTCGTTATTAATTTTAACTCCATACTCCATAAGCCTGCGGAGGACCACTTCTAGATTTAAAAACATTTCTTCTTTGCTAGCAGCCGTTATCAGTATATCATCTAAATAACAATACGTGTTCTTTAGTCCACCAAGAATTTTGTCCATAACAGACTGAAACAAGGGTCCTGCACTTGAGATTCCATAAGGAAGTCTGAGATATCTGTACAATCCTTTATGAGTATTTATGGTAAGCAACTCCTGTGAAGCTGAATTTACTTTGCACTGTAAGTATGCATTTGCCAAGTCCAATTTACAAAATACTTTGGCTCCTACTATTTTGTTAAAAATTTCATCAGGCAGGGGCAAAGGATAATGATCAGTCCTTACACAAGGATTTAGCGTTATTTTGTAGTTCCCACATAGCCTAACTGTACCATTAACCTTACGAACCACCACCAAAGGCGTGGCCCACTCAGACTGAGTCACAGGTTTTATTATTCCATTATGTTCTAATTTCTTGAGCTCTGCTTCTACTGCAGGCCTTAATGCAAACGGGACGTTGTGTGGCTTACAGAATACCGGTCTTGCATTTTCTTTTAACACCAAATTAACTTCTACATCTTTTATCTCCCCAAACTTGCCATCAAAAACATCATTATACTTGGCCCTCAGATCTTTAATCCTATTATGAATTGGAACAGTCTTACCAATTGCCAGCAGCGAGGAACTTTCTCCCCCGTTGATCCGAGACCAATCCAATTTGATTTCCTGAAGCCAATTCCTCCCCATTAATATTGGTTGATTTGGGTCCTTGTTTTTGACAACAACGAGCGGCAACACCTTCGATTGTCCGTCATCAGTGGAGACTGTAGCCTGAAACTCACCAATTGTTGGAATTTTGTCTTCAGTATACGTTTTCAAACTAATGGATGAACGCTTTAATGCTGGGACTACATGCTGCAATTTATCATAATAAATTTTCTCCGGGCAGACACTAACTACTGCTCCAGTATCAACAGTCATGTTCAATGGTACATTATTTACAAACAGTTTTGCTATAAAATTCTTTGTTCCAGAACTGTTAGCATAGGCTATGGTATTTACCGTCAAATCACTCAAATACAACTCCTCTCCATCAACAGAATCATCCTCATCACTACAGTTTGTGTGATTGAGGTTATCTTCATCACAATAGCTAACCCTAGATTTAGGCTTAAACTTAAAAGAAGACCTTTTATATTTACTCTGTTGGCAAGCAGCCGCTAAGTGACCTTTTCGCTTACACAAATTACATACGTACTTCTTGTACGGACAACTCCAAGCATCATGCTCCTTCTGACACCTGTAACACACTTTAGGCCTAGCATCTTGGCCTGTACTTTTAGGCCTAACCTTCGGTGCGGAGCTTTTGTTTTTAACAAAGTTTACCTCAACAGCACTGTTTTTATGTAAATATTTGACATTGTTCTCCGCATCTTCCATGACTAATGCAGTAGATAGGGCTTTTTCAAAAGTTAAACTATCTCCCTCTGCTAATAACTTACTCTGGATCTGAACTGATTTCAACCCACACAAAAATCTGTCACGGAGAGCCTCATCTAAAAACCTGTCAAAATTACATTTTGAGGCTAGCTTTTTAAGTTGAACCCCATATTCCGAGATTGTTTCACTATCCAACTGGTTTCTCTTATTAAAAAGGAAACGTGCATATGTAATATTCCTTTTCGGAGCAAAATGAGCTTGAAGAGCTTCCAAAGCTTCCTTAAAAGCTACATCTTTGGCAACTTAGGGACCAAGAGATTTTTCAAAGTGGCATACATTTTAGGCCCCATAAACGAGATAAAATATTTCTTTTTATCTTCATCTTTAACTGAATTTACTAAAAAGAAGTTCTCTAGCCTTTCAGAGAAATTTTCAAAAGATTCCTGCTCTGGATCAAACTCTGACAACTTACCGATGATGCTCTTGGCCATAGTACAAGTCCTAGGCCTACACTAAAAATCATTAAAATCAAAACATACTTCAATAATCTTCTCTGGCAATACTTTTCCTGTATATTAAAACACTTTTATTCACTTTAAATAGCTTCAAACATTTAAAAATCAGTTTTTAGCAGATTTAAGCAAAACTTTGCAATCTCTGACAAGAAAGTTTGCACACGACACACTGATGACTAATCCAACCCGTGCAACGTGCTTTCAGTGAGTCAACCAGTGTCTACTTACAGAAATCTCTCTGTACCTGTTACTTTTAACAGTTCCAAAACTTATTACTTCTTGGTAACTGCTTACCGACCTGGTGTAACTGGAACTGGAAATGCTTGCAGGGCAATACTGGACCTGTTATCTTAGAGCTGTTCCTGTTATTGGACCTGCCTTCTTCAATCCGTTCCCAAGTTCAAACACTCCTTTCTTCACTGTTCTCACCCGTTGCTTCTGGATTTAGCTGATTGTTAATTGCTCGTTTGCCGTTCCTTGTTAAAATGAATATTCCTTCTCTCTTTCACCAACAAAAAGGAAACACTTGACGCAAAAATATACTTTTAAAAGCGCGCACAAAATAAAGAAACTCACTTTAAAATACTCGTCGCCATGAAATAGTTTAGTATTCTTTAATGATTGCCTAATCATAACCTATAATACGATTTAGACAACTAGCCGGTCTGACACTAAAACTAACCTGACTAACCACGCACTATGTTTAACGTACCTTGGCATAACGTAGACTGAGACTCCCTTGTCGTTCGTCTCCTCTGTGGGGTTGGACTTTGTACTTTGACCTTAGATCCTATTGTATTGAACTTAAACTGGCTTCTTGATATTGTAATAACGAAACTAAAATATTCTTCACTTTATAACAACAACCAAAACCTTTCAGTAAAAAAAATATATTTTATGCTAAAAAATTACAAAATATTTTAAAAGATTTTAAGAATTATAAAATTTTTTTTGGTCAACAACTTTTTTTTAACTTAAGGGTTATAGTGGGTAAAAATGTATAAAACTTAGTAAAAAAATTTCAAGTTGATAGGTTAATATTTTTAAAATGTATGAGTACCTAAAACTTCCATTTTAACATGGGTGGGATTTAACATGTCGTTTAATTATGTATTAAGCCCGAAAGATTTTCCTTTATGACGTTTATAAGACCTTATACGTTTAAGCTTATTTTATTAACATTTATTTTGTCCTAAACGGATGAAATTGTGTAAGAAATGTAAGAAAAATGTCTCATTACAGCTTCTGTTGATTTATAAATCAACAAAATGGGTTTAGTAATGTAGTTCAATTGTTTTGTGGGGATGAGGTGTAAATGCATTGACGCACTCTGGAATGCTCAATGGCCTCTCAGTAGTGTCAGACTCTCTCGGGCTCAATGTCCCCAGACTATCGGCTAAAACATTGCCTTGGATACTAGCCTGGAAGAGTAAAATTTTGAAGATGCCATACCTGTGCTTAAATGAGCATTAGTGATTAAATATAATAATCAAGATAAAAAGGCAACCAAAAAGGTAAATTTTAAATTTAATTAAACTTGATTATTGCTTAGATTGTTTGGTACGCAATAGAGTATAGTGTATTTACTGCTTTATTTCTAGAAAAATTCAGTAAGTATTTTTTTATATAATTATTTCGTCAACGGTTCATATTATGTTCTCATAGGTTGATTACAGTAAAATCCATCTGAGGATTATAGGGAAACAACATAACCAAAGTAAATCATAATTGGCTTATTTATGTTTTGGAGAACAGTTAGTGTAATTGGGTAAGTAATGTTATATACCAAGTTAATTCACACTTTCATTTATTTTGAGTAAATTAAATTCATACAGATAGGATTGTGATGAAGAAAATATAGGCCTAAAACACGTACTCCTCAGAACTTTTAACTGTATGGCAAAAGATACTTAAAAATAGCGATATTAATTTATCAAACCCAAAACCAGAGTTTATCCGATTTATGGTAAAATTGCGATTTTTTTTAATTTAATGCTTCGTTACATAAACTGAGTATTTTGCTGTTGCGAATAGTCACGATATTCTAATTTAATTTAATAATTTTAACTTAATACAAAAGGCTAGTTATAGTGGTGTTTTTTAAATCCTGATAAATGTTCAGTATGGAAATTTCCTCAATATGAACTCAAATATCCGATACTTGTCTGGAGGTAAACAGAGAAAACGTTATCACAGAAACGTTATCAGTCCTGGAGCGAAGCCAAATACGAGTACCCGGGGAGCTTCTTTGAGAGTTCTACAAACGGTTTATTTTATACAGTGCTCAGAAGAATGTTCAGACATATCAATCTTTATTTATAAATATTAAAGATTTTTTGGTACAAATAATTGAACTACCCTTGCATTTAGAGTTATTTGTATTTAGTTTGATCAAAGAACACTGCAAAGGAAGAGTTTACCACGAGCCATGAGAACCACGAGGAATAAAACTGAAACAATGTCCATCAAAATAAAATTTATAATTATTGCAATTTCTATTGCAGTATTTTTATACAAAAATGATTGCCTATGAACATCGTAAAAACATTTTATTTTATAGGAAAATCTGAAAATACTTTCAGGCAACAGATTAACCGTGTCTTCTAAGTTTTTTATCTGTGACAATCGTTGGGCGTACTTAAATTGAAAACAACAATTTTTACTTCTAAATTGTAATCGATGCCAGAGCATCCAAATGTTTGACAAGTAAACAAGAGAATCAATTAACCAATGTGGAGTTGTCTC